CTTTGGAAATGAGGAAGTAAAACTATCATTATTTACAGATGACGTGATACTATATATAGAAAACCCTGAAGATTCTACCAAAAGACATCTACAATTTCTGAAATTTATTCCCTTCTTCCCCAGTAAAATCATTAGTGTAACCATATGTATTTTGGAAGGATGTCTGAACATCATTTTAGGATGTTTTCTCTATATGTCAGGTCCTGAACTGTAATTCACCCTAGTAAAAAACAGTGCTCCTTCATTTTATCGTAAGGCATTGATAAACTTATCAGGTTCAACAATGGGAGGAAAATGTACTTCTCTGGCGCTTTATACTGGCCTGAGAGACTAAATAAGAATATATATTCTAAACATTCTCTGCTTGCATTTGCCATTAGTTATGAAAACTGCTAATGTCTCCTTGTTTTTGTTGATAACCATCTTTCAGGACATTACCCCAATATGGGAGTGTGGATTGCTGTGTGAATTGATATAGATTTTCACAATATGGTTACATGAAATATTAGTGACAAAGACATTCTTTTTGAGTGGATTCGCTGAAGCTCTGTGTGCTTGTTTCTCTGCATTTATACTGTAACCAAAACCCAGGTTCAGCTGCCTGTCACAATGAAAGCGAAACTCCTGAGACAGGTCCTGATAAGAAGGAAAGTGGTTTATTCAAGTGCCAGCCACCTGAGAAGATGGGGTACTCTTGCCTAAAGCCCATCTCAACATCTCATTGCAGGCAGAGGTTTTTATAAGGAGGAGAGGGAAATCATAAAGAGATCAAGGGGAGAGGGTTGAAAAGTCCTCTATGTGCAGCCAGCACAATCCATTCTAAAAAGGACCTTGAAACTGGTCAAGCGATGGTCTGGTGTGTGTCATCCTGGTCTTCACCATCTTAGGTCTATGGTTGATGGTCAGCAAATCTCTCAGGACTAGGATGACTGAAGGTCAGAGTCTGTATCTTTTGAAGTTAGTTCCTAGGATTCTTATACAAACATACTGTTTATCTACAAGCTACATAGTAGGCAGAATCAGCATTTACAGAAACAATGTCAAAAGAATGGTGGGGTGGATTACAAACCCCCACTGTTGCAATACTATAGCCCAGTGAAGGCAGTGCCTGTCAGCCCAGAATTTAATATTTAAGTTTTGGCATTTTGCTGCTTGGTCTGTCTTCTTGCTCTGCAGAGAACAGCTCTCTTCCCATTGATCCTGCATTTGAATAATATCTAAGTGCAGGAAATGGGTTTTGTCTACAAGGTATCTGAACGGGCTAACTAGGGTGAAATTCAAGGTTAGACTTTGCTGCCGCATTTGAGATTCTGTAGGTGGTTGTTTCAGTGATGATGAGATGAGCTAAGTCCAGACAGTGAAAGGAGTCAAGTTGTTCCTTGAGGAAACTTGATTTCTCTTAATATGTTTTCAGTTCCTGCAAATACACGTCCATTCAGTGAGCAAAATAAACCAAAGAAACCAAAACCTAAACAAATTGGTCAGATTTGTCATGCTTCACCTTTTTGTTTTGGGACTTTGGGAATTTCCAAGAAGTAGGTGATTCTTTACCCTCTGTGGTTTGCCTTTCCTTCAAATTCTGGCCACTCAAGTCTCACCTGCATTTTCAGTCTTGCCTCATTCCAAGGACAGATCTTAACTCTAGCAGTAACAATTTCAGGAACTCAGAGCGATTAGTGAGCACAACATATGACATACTGAGCACGAATTATGCTCGTGGTATATATTCTCAATCCTCACATGAGCCCTACAAATTTGATGTCATTTCCCTCAAATGCACACGAGAGGAAATTACTCCTTAACTATCTATTATGTGTATTCGAGAACTTTGAAAAGATATCAAAGGAGCAAATGATCTCAGGAGGCAAATTTGGTATCTCTAGTCATCCAGGAGAAGCAATATTTTAAAACAGTGCTGAAAACAAGGATATATTTCAGATAACCAAGTGTGAAGATGTGTGAAGATGGATGTCTGTGGTAGAGTCTTTAAGGGGGAGGGCTACCTTCATATATTAGTTTGTAGATTTAATTTATTTTTTTATCAAGTAAGTTTGTAATTTAGTAGTAAAGGGGGCGAAGGCGGAGGGGTGCAGAGGGGGAAATGAGGGAACATGTGTAATACTGTCAACAATAAAACAAAAATTAAGATTAAAAAAAAGAGATTAAAAATGTCGCGCCTGTCATTTCCCAGTTTCCCAAACTGCCTCTGGCTCCCGGCTATGGAAGGACAAGCTGCTAAGGCTTCCTGCTGTGCTCAGCTGGTGCAACCAGAGGGTTTTATTTCGTAGAAGTGGAATGAGGTCCTGGTCCCAGAGCCCCCTGTACGTCTGTGATGACCACAGACCAGCATGTGTACCTGACCTTCATTCACTGGTAACCCCAGCGTCAGCGTTGACGAAGCTGTGCATGTGGCCACAGTGGTTTCCTGCCAATGACACAGAGCACAGTCCAGCTTGTCCCTGGCTGGCTGTATGTCACCTAGTTTACCATCTCCGTCGCCTCAAGGAGCATTCACGTCTTACTGGGCAGGGGTATTTGGTGCAGATTTTCTTTCCTGTCACACCAAAAGGGATCAGACTCTCAGAATTCTGGGATCGCAACAGGTTAAAGGATATAGTATAAAATCAAAAACAAACCCAAGAGAGGATGCCTCTTGGTGCATAAAAGATTGTTTAAGCACGTGTCTGTGTTCACCTGCGGTTTCCACGTTGAGTATTATGGATGTAAAGAAGCACCGGGGACCAGTTAATGCCGCAGGTCGCGGTCGGTGTGACCACTTGCTTCTACAGGGACCTAGAGTAAGGGTGTCTGCGGAAGCTTTGCTTCAATAAGAAATGTCATGAGGGCTCGCTGGTTTCATGCTCTAACCTGACACCGAGGTAGTGATGCTTGAGTCTCCCCTGTTTTGTGGAAAAATGCATCACACGTTTCCATTGAGAATTGTTACTGGCCTGTTTACTTATGTGTTTCAATTACAGTTTACATTCGATATAATTTTGTATTAGTTTCAGGTGTACAGCATAGTGGTTAGACTATCATTTACTTTACAAAGTGTTACCTCCCAGCCTGATATTTCCATTACCCACCTGGCACCACACACAGTTATCACAATATTATTGACTGCATTCCGTGTGCTGTGCTTTACGTCCCCGTGACTGTTCTGTCACTGCCCGTTTGCGCGTCTTAATCCCTTCACCTTTTCCACGCAGCCCCCCAGCCCCCCACCCCTCGGGCAACCATCAGCTTGTTCTCTGCATCTGTGAGTCTGTTTCAGTCCAGGCCAATTCTTGATGACGTCAGAGAAGGTTTCTTGATTGAGAAATAGCCGTGACATTAAGGTCAACTCAAGGTGACCCATAATCTTAATGACATTGCTCTGCTGGCCAAGAAACACACTTTGACCATAAAAATTGTTCGATCTCATAGCTTACCTGATATTTTACAATTAAAAAGAATTGCAGACTTCTCAGTCACCTAGAAAAACAGCTTTTCATGGTAAATGACATAAAGAGAACTTGAAAAGTCAAATTCTTTTTTTATTGTAAATCGNCTCATAGCTTACCTGATATTTTACAATTAAAAAGAATTGCAGACTTCTCAGTCACCTAGAAAAACAGCTTTTCATGGTAAATGACATAAAGAGAACTTGAAAAGTCAAATTCTTTTTTTATTGTTTGAAAGGCTAAGGCACAAATCAGATATTTATTTTTTTTTAGAGTGTGCTATTTTCTTATTATGCGCTTCAAATTTATGTGTGTTATGGTCTTTCTGTTTGTATATAAATCACACAGTTTGTTATTAACGATTTTCTCTTGACTCATAAATGTGATTGACAGTAGCTTAGCGCCCACGAGCAGCCTAGCAACAGGGTGAGACAGGAATGCAAACAAAATGTTTTATATAAAAAAGAGTCCAAATTCAGAATATTGGTGCATGTGTACTATTAAAAAACAAGCTGAAATCTTCCAGCTGGGGGGACGCTGCATGGCGGTCGGCATTGCGTTTCCTAGTGACCCACTGCCTTCATTCAGAAGCTATGGCATGTGCTTCAGACCACACACCACTGACAGGTAACCGAGCGTGTGCAGGAGACGGGTGTCATATGTCATCGCTGTTTGGTGGATGAGTTTACCGGCTGCAGCCACCACGGGGATGGGAGCTCAGCTCCTCCGCCTCTCGGGCTCCCAGACGGCTCTTCCCTGGCGAAGAGGAGACTGAAAATCGTGAGGGTCTTAGAGAGGGGCCAGACCTGCTTAAGCTCGTCCGATTTCCTCTATATGTGGAAAGTTGCTCACTTATGTTATTTGGATCGAAGCGCCTCACCTTAAATACGAAAGAATATTCTTTTCATGAGAAACAGTTGCCTCCCCTTGAAGACATCTGGAGGCAGTTGGGTAGACCGGTGGCGTGGAATTTGTACCCTGAATATTGGGATACAATTCCACGGCTTCCCTGTGCCGGTGGGACTCATCCCAGCCGTAGTTACTGGCCAGGTGTTCAGGACACAGACGTTTTGGGTGTAGTAGGATGTCCCAGTGGGTCGCAGTGTGGAAAAGTGCCCTCCTTCATTTGGGGAGGTTGAGCGCCCTGAGGGCAGGAGTGGCCTTGTTTGTGATTTTATCCAGTATTTACTCGTGTGCCTTATAAACTGCTTGCAACAAATGATTCGTCTTTTTTTTTTTTTTTTTTTTTTTTTTTTTTTTTTTTTTTTTTTTT